AAGATGATATATATATATATAATTTTTTTATGCTGCATGTGTTATTTGTCCAAACTGGGTCAGGAGAGCTCTCTTATTTGAATAAAGGCAAGTACAGATTATACATTGCAAACACTGTGTATTTGTCTTATCCTTGTCTTTTTGAACCTTGAATGTATTGAGTGTGGGGTTGCAGTGAGCAGCACACACGAGCACTTCACCCTGTCAAAGCTGCATCGGTTGAAGTTCATTTACATTTTGCTTGAGATACGTGTGTTTATGTAAATCAGTTACTTCAAACAGCACCAAAGCTGTCAGTCACAGCTCAGTGTGCTGTTTTTGCCCAATTTTCTTTACAGAAATGCTACATCCAATCAGCTTTGAGCTGGAACTTCAGTTTGTTGACTGAGAAAATGAAAAGCTACAGTAACTGGATTAACTTTCAGACAGTAACTAGTTTCATTTCAGCTTTGTAAACCATAGGATTTGCTGCTTTGTCCTGTATCACAGCAGGATAAATGTCTTTGGGTTTTGGGCTGACGTTTGAATATTTGACTGTTTTTATAAACAAAGCAGTTAGTGAATCTAAATATAAAATATTGCTTAAATCACATCATCACACATTGAATTTTTATGAAATGTCTATCCAGCTAAGTAGCTGTCAAAGATTTAGAGATTTGGGAAACCTTGTGATGACTTAAGGGTTTTTACTCTAATACACATTTTCCCTAAACCCTATGTATGCACATAATGCAGTATTCTCAGCAAGACTCATTTCGATTTGTTAGTTTTGTTTAATTCATATTGTGAACCCATATACAGTGCCTTGCGAAAGTATTCGGCCCCCTTGAACTTTGCGACCTTTTGCCACATTTCAGGCTTCAAACATAAAGATATAAAACTGTAATTTTTTTGTGAAGAATCAACAACAAGTGGGACACAATCATGAAGTGGAACGAAATTTATTGGATATTTCAAACTTTTTTAACAAATAAAAAACTGAAAAATTGGGCGTGCAAAATTATTCAGCCCCCTTAAGTTAATACTTTGTAGCGCCACCTTTTGCTGCGATTACAGCTGTAAGTCGCTTGGGGTATGTCTCTAACAGTTTTGCACATCAAGAGACTGAAATTTTTGCCCATTCCGCCTTGCAAAACAGCTCGAGCTCAGTGAGATTGGATGGAGAGCGTTTGTGAACAGCAGTTTTCAGTTCTTCCCACAGATTCTCGATTGGATTCAGGTCTGGACTTTGACTTGGCCAAGAGGCCCATGATCACTCTGGATGAACTGCAGAGATCTACAGCTGAGGTGGGAGACTCTGTCCATAGGACAACAATCAGTCGTATACTGCACAAATCTGGCCTTTATGGAAGAGTGGCAAGAAGAAAGCCATTTCTTAAAGATATCCATAAAAAGTGTCGTTTAAAGTTTGCCACAAGCCACCTGGGAGACACACCAAACATGTGGAAGAAGGTGCTCTGGTCAGATGAAACCAAAATTGAACTTTTTGGCAACAATGCAAAACGTTATGTTTGGCGTAAAAGCAACACAGCTCATCACCCTGAACACACCATCCCCACTGTCAAACATGGTGGTGGCAGCATCATGGTTTGGGCCTGCTTTTCTTTAGCAGGGACAGGGAAGATGGTTAAAATTGATGGGAAGATGGATGGAGCCAAATACAGGACCATTCTGGAAGGAAACCTGATGGAGTCTGCAAAAGACCTGAGACTGGGACGGAGATTTGTCTTCCAACAAGCCAATGATCCAAAACATAAAGCAAAATCTACATTGGAATGGTTCACAAATAAACATATCCAGGTGTTAGAATGGCTATGTCAAAGTCCAGACCTGAATCCAATCGAGAATTTGTGGAAAGAACTGAAAACTGCTGTTCACAAACGCTCTCCATCCAATCTCACTGAGCTCGAGCTGTTTTGCAAGGAGGCATGGGCAAAAATTTCAGTCTCTCGATGTGCAAAACTGATAGAGACATACCCCAAGCGACTTACAGCTGTAATCGCAGCAAAAGGTGGCGCTACAAAGTATTAACTTAAGGGGGCTGAATAATTTTGCACGCCCAATTTTTCAGTTTTTTATTTGTTAAAAAAGTTTGAAATATCCAATAAATTTCGTTCCACTTCATGATTGTGTCCCACTTGTTGTTGATTCTTCACAAAAAATTATAGTTTTATATCTTTATGTTTGAAGCCTGAAATGTGGCAAAAGGTCGCAAAGTTCAAGGGGGCCGAATACTTTCGCAAGGCACTGTAACTACCTGAACAGGCTCTATCAGTAGCCTATTGCACACAGTAAAATGATTTTACCAATAAGAATAGCATGAGGAAGGAACCTTAGTGAGGCGGTGCATGTAACTACCTACCATAAAGAGAGAGAGTCACAAATGTCTTTTTGTCTTTGAATATAAGTTCAGGGTACGCTTTCTATACTCCTATTTTTGTGATTTGTTTCTAACATTAAATTTAGGATAATGCTTCAAGAAAACTGGATATGGTGAGCTCAAAGTTAGACTGAAGTCTGCTGCTGATTGTCATTAAAATACTTTAATGAGCACTTGATATAGTGTACTTTGTAACTGTTCATGGCGTCTCTGACTGGCTCCTCAGGTGGCTGGCTGAGTCCATCCGTCCGCCTTGCCTCCCCGGAGGCTCGGTGCAAAGGCATCACATTTCACCGGGGTGTGCACTCTGCCCTTCAGAGGCTGTTGGTCTATAGGTGCTCATTCCTGGGGAGAGGCCCGAGTCTCTCCCTCCTTAGGAAGAAGGGAGTTGGGTTCCACAGATTCATGCATAAAACATAAAGCAGTGGAGGGGAAATGTAGCCGAGCACAACAGCAGCTACATTAACTGCTCTGGAGCTGAGGACAGACTGTAGACAAAGCGAAGTATTACCTTTAGAAAAATCTAGGCTCTGCTAGATAGGCACCACCGATGCTCTGGAGGGAGTATCTGTCCTGGGGATGGGCTGAAGAACCAGGGTGCTGTTCTTGAATGGGTGAGTGGCTGTTGCACGGTGGCACCTGCTTGGCATCATGGAACTACCTCGAAGCCTAAACTGGGTACGAAACAGAGCCCGGAAGCCTCATGTCCACCGGAGGGAGTTCAACCGTAAGTAGACCAAGTGATTGGCTTGAGTGAGTATATTAGCGGGCATCTTATTTTATCTTCATGTGAACAACTGAGGAGCACCCTGGTGGCTTTTCTCTACCCTCTTTTTTTTGTGTGTGCTTCGATGTGCTGTGTCTCTGCTTCTAATTAAGTGCTGCTGTGAACTCAAGAAGCTTCCAGTGAAGTCATCACTGTCTTGTCGAGGGAACTGCTGCTCCCACACATTAACTCGCTTCATGCTGTGGATAACAGACACATTTTGATCTACTGTTTCTAATGGTTCTTGATGTTTTTAAAGCATGTCTATATTATTATACAAGTCTTGAGTGTTTGTGTTTTAAATTAGTAATGTGCAAGCAGGCACCACTTGCATCTCCCACAGTGGATTAGATGTCAGATAACACAGATGTTGAACAAGACATTGTATTGGTAATGCTTCAAATGTGATGTAAAATTATCTACCAGGTTTTAAACAGATTACTGATGTAAACTCTCATGGCTCCTGTCTGCGTTCATCATAAAATGTGGACACATTGTTCAACTAGAAATTCATATTTACAAATGAGAGATCACACGTGGTTAGTAAACATTTACTGGATCAGTCAAAAAAAATGTGAAATTGACCATATGACGTTCAAAGAAAGTAGTTGTAATAGTAAGTATTGTGTTACTGGGAGACAGCTGGATCATGAGACAATAGGCCCCTGGGCGTAGACGTGGAAAAGGCCTCTATCTCTCCTATACTTGAGCAAGCATGTGATTTGTAGTCAATTTGTGGCTTCTTGTAGTTGTTTTGAACCTGTTTTTAGAATTTTGCATTTTTTTGGTCATTTTCCATCTCTTTTCATTCCGTGTCAGTTTTGTATCTCGTTGTAGTTGCTTTGTCTCTGTGTTGGTTGGTTTGCATATTTTGTAGTCATTTTACAGTTTTGGGTCATTTTACTGTCTCTTTTTTTAGTTTTTTTTTTTATCTTTGTGCATGTATTTTTTTTTCCTGTTTTGTGGATTTTGGACTTGCTTTATTTGATTGACTTTCCAACAGAATAATGAAGTCCCTTCACAATTCTGTGGTCTTTAGGTTCCCAGGCCTGTACCTGATAGGCCTGTTCAGTAATCCATCCATGCTGGGAAATGTCTGATGGACTCACTCTTGCACCTCCTACTTCATCAGCAATAGGTTTTGGCTCTGACACACAGACGATGGTCAGTTGACACTGCAGTCTATCTGATCAGACTTGATCAGTGAATTGAAACAACATCTGTGTTGATTGTGTAGGATCAGATTTTAGAAGGAATGGATTACAACACTTGTGGCTGTGCCAGGTGGGTTTAGTAGTGTTCTATTTGGTAATGTTGCTTATAAACTACAATGTCATGAGGTAAAAGAAAGCTATGTTCTTCTCTGCATATGGAAAGAACATGTAAGTGCATATGTTAGCACTGTGGTGCGTTAGATGTATGGATCCATTAACACTGAGTGCACATTGGCTTATACCTGAATGATGCTGAGTTAAAAGGATTCAACAACTAGCATTGCTCTCCTGAGCGCACACAGAAATGCTATTTTCTAAATAGAAGTGTCTTAAGACACAATTGAATAAATTAATGAATGTGCAGGTAATGAGCTATGTGGAGAAACACAATATAAAAAATGGTTAACATGACAAAGTGTCAGTAGGAAACCAAGGCCCTGTTAATGAGACCAACAGCAGTCAGAAATAAACTATTGTTGTGGCATGAGGTTTTTGTCCTGATTGAGCACAGCCTTTTGCCAGGTGAGAGTTTTTCTAAAACCTTTGTCTGCAGTGGGAGGAGGAGGCAGCCATAATCTGTCACACAGATTGCAGATGATCACTCTTCTGGTTGTGTAACTGCTAGGCTGCAGTCCACTCTCGTTTTTGGTGGTGGGCATATTTTAATTTTGTCAATCTTTGTAACATTATGGTGTATTACAAACAAGACCGGCTGCTTTGTTTTCATGCTCAACTCATGCTAGTTTGTCTTCCCGTGTGTTTAATCATAGGTAAAGTAGTTGAAAATGCTGTAGAGCCATGGTATTCCTGTGTGTCTAACAGTGGTAAATAGATTTCAAATTACCGTAGCTAATAAAGACAAGTGAGGCTACAGTTAAAAGGCATAGATGGGGATTGAACCCATGATCTTTGTTATTCTTGTATGTCTCCTTGCAACACATGCAATTAGACTCCAAAGCCATTGGCACATTAATTACAACCAGTGAAGCTACAGTTTTGAGGGATGGATGGGGATTGAACCCAAGATCTTTGGTTTACATGCCTTACCACTTGGCCACCATACCCATGATAATGATTTCTGACTGAAATAATAATCATTCAATAAAAACTATTTTTTCTAAGACTGTATGTCATTGGTGTTTCTGACTGAACCTTCATGTTCCCAGTAATCACCAGTAGGGGTCCTCCACAGTTTGTTAATGCCATGGACTGTCTTCCCTGTGACTCACCATAAACATTCAGTACGCACATTCTGTACAGAACATCCCTGCACTGTACTTAGAGGGAAGTGAAGCAAAACTGTGACATTTCTTTTCCACTCATTGGGTTTATGATGAAAACTGCTCTCTTCCTCCTCTGAAGATGCAATTTATTCTTCCTTTTTCTGGCACTGTCACTACTCACATGATCAGCCGACTGATTTTATGAATAATACAGAGGATGAAAAAATAAATTGTTTTTTGGGTTTTGGGGTTTGTTTTTTTTTTGCTTTAACACTAATGGAGGTGATTTAAATAAAACCTTTTAACAGACTGTTCCTTTGACCTGTCTGGCTCATGCACATTTCTCCTTGATTTCGTTGTCACCTCTCCTACTACCTCTCTGTCCCTCACCTCTGCCCTCCTTGCATTTGCTTTATTGCATTCTTACTCTCCTCTGTCCTTCAGTCTATCTCCCCTCTTCTCATTTATTGTCGTCATGCCCTGCGACCTCCTTCCCTTGCCCCCTGCTTCTCCTCTCCCTTGCTTCAGATTTTCTTTATCCCCCTCCCTGCCTCCTCTCTTCTATTCTCTCTAACCACAGTTCTAATGGACTCTCTCTTAAAATATTCCCACTCCATAGCAACGCGCCTCCTCACTACTGTAGCCTCTGCTGCCACTGATGCAGGAGGCGGTGTTGGGATGTAAAACTACATCAGAGGAGATTACATATTGCCTCAGCAGTTGTCAGTTGGAGCTGGAAATGATTCTTTGCATGTCTTTCGCTGCTCATGCACTCCTGCTCTGTTCCCTTCTTTTTTTCTCCTTTTTATTTCTGACACGCAATTATTTTTCCACCCTCTTTCTCCTTTCTCTCCTGCTTATCCACACATTTTCCCATCCCTCGCATCACCAAGAAAAGAATTCAATTCACAAGCTTTCAGGGCACATGACTGTGGAATCATGTTGGCTCTTTCTCTGTGATTTTGCACAATAAAGTCAACAAGCAGGGCTGCTGCGTGGGTTGCTTATGAACACAGAGACCGGCTAATGGAAAGAGAGAAAGAGAAGGAGAGTGAGAGACAGAGGGAGGAAAGAACAAAATAAAACACTGCCTGCATTTCCCAAAGTAGAAGGGTGCATGTTATAATTGTTTGTTACTGCTGCAGCTCATTTCCATCTGTTTGACAGCATGACTTTCATTGATAATGGTGCTTATAAGCTCAGTAATTTTCTGAATAACTGGTAACTACTAGTAGCACTAGTGTAGCTAGATAAATAGAGATAATGGCTCGGCTACTGAGTGGGCCATAGCATTCAGATGATACTGCCTATTAAGCCAGTGGTGGCAGACATGGCAGCTTAACCTAAGCAGATCCAAAGTAGATATAAGGCTGAGTCAAACTGATGACTTACTCTTTGCTTTGGTGAGAGTAGGAGGTAAAAGCATGGCTATGTTCAGTCAGTTTAAAGGTACTATAGGTTAAGACTAGAGAATGGGGTGTTCAGGTGTAATTTCACTTTGACACTTTCAGTCCAGGTGTAAAACAAACATGTCTCAAGGGCAATACACCTGGAGACATAGCCAAAGGCTTATGTACTGTATGTAGCAGCAGCCACTGAGAGAAAACGCTTACAGGTAAAATCATTCAATGCAAAACAAATCACTGGCAAACGAGAGCAGATTTGGGAAAATTCATAATTTTTCAGCTACCACCACTAATCTAACATATGAAGATGGAGAAGAAATGTCCCATAAGAGGAAAAGGTTTATATCAGCATGAGAGTGTTGCTGAAAACCTAAGATCCACCTAGTGGAGGAAGGCTGTACTAGTTTTATTGGCAGACCAGTCTTGTCTCTGTTAACTGAGTTGGGGATAAGAGGACTGAGCCTAAAGCAGGCAGGGTAAAACATTGCCAGTGTTCTGTCAAATTTTGCTACCTCTCTAGACACGCTACTTACCATTCACAGTGTGGTTAGGGTAGCATATCTCAACAAGGTAGCAAACACCAGTACTACAGCTAGGTCCAAACAATGACTGTTGGTTTGATGAAAGGTAAGTGACTGGGGCAAAGAGATGTTTTATAAGTATCAATATATGGTGTGCAGCTTGTCAAGATGAGACGAGTAAGGAGGTTTGGCTGGTGGGTTACCACTGAGCTGAATATTGCTGGTTTCCTACATGGTGGCTCAGACAACATGCTGGTTGGCTTAGCCTATGGTTAGCATGCTAATTAGCTTTGCAGGGTAGTTAGGTAATTAAGAGTGTAGTGTTAGGTGCAGAGTTAGGTGAGGGTGACTACTTGGCAACATGGTATAGCAACATGCTCTATAGTTTGACAGGGAGTTAGCTGGTTGTAGTTGGTTAGCATGCTGGTGACTGGCGATACTGGAGTAAACTGTTGTAGATGGTTGTGTTGAATGGGTGGGTGCAGGTAAACAGATGGGTGACTCTGGGATGCTGGAAATCACTACTGAAGTTTCTAGGTGTCATTGTCATTTTGTGTGTTCAGTCATAGTTACAATACCAGAAAAGACTTGTTAATTCATAAATCCAAAAATAATATATTAAATAAAATAATGTAGGATTTTTTAAGCAATCTTTATTTATATGACTGACAAATGTCAAGAAAACCCAACATAAAGTGTTTCTCAACACTTTTCAGTTTCAGTACACTTTGGCATTGATTCTATAAGTCTTTGGACTCTACTGGAGGCATGAAAGTTTTTTAGAGACTGATGTCTAACATAGTTGTGTACACAAAGTCCATTGCATATGATTCATATCATTTTCAAACTGTGCAGTGACAGAATAGGGACATTTATCATTCCAATGCAGACAATAAATGTTTTTCCTTTGTGCAACTTCACATTATTTTTGTGTAATTCATATAACTCGAAGAAACCTGTAAACTGCTAAATCATTAGAGAGGCATGGATGGGGTTTGAACCCATGAGCTGTGTTTTACAAGGCCAATGCCTTACCACTTGGCCACCATGCCCTACTCTTCAAAATAAGGTCGACATATGTTCTACCCTACACCAAAGTCTGGCCTTGATCCAAGTAATCTTTTGGATCTGCTCATCCAGAATGTTCACACTTAGAGGCTTAACAGAAACAATCATGGGAATATTGCTATTAGAGGAAATAGCATCATGGGGACAGTGAGCTGCCTTAGCAGAGGTTTATGCTCTCTGAGTGCTGTCTAGTCTGTTTTGTTAGTTTGCCTGAGTGCTTTCACTAAAAAATTAGCATATAAACTGTTTGTTCAAAATGCATGTAATGTTGGGGGAGATGAAAATCAAGCGTTCCAACAGTCGCACACTACTGACTTGCCACTGAGCAAGACACTGATACCGGCAAGCCCTATGGGTGCTTTACTGATTGAGTTGGACCTCTGACCTCTCTCTGTAATAAAAAGAGCCAGCAGAATTGATGAAGTATCATGTTGTTATTGTTGCTGCTGCTGTTAGAATCCAGAGGCAATGAAAGAAAAGTTCAGACTGACCTTGTCCTCTGGCTGTTGTGTTCTCTAATCCTCACTTGTGATGACTCATAAACTCCAGTGTTTATAAGAAAGAAAACATTGAAAGCAACGTATAACTGAAAAACACAGTACAGTCAAAAGCAGGAAAAGGATCCAAATTGTGCTGTGAAGAACAAAATGCAGTAAACAGTTCAGTTTTTAATTTTATTTTCCCTGATATATATACTTACAATATACTTGGAAAACACATACATGAAGGTGCTCTGATGCTGTGCAGAATAATTAACCTGAGGAAATCTTTCACAGATCTTTGTGTTCAAAATTGGATATTATATAAAAGAACTTGATCTAATATCCTTTTTGTTTTCTTGATATCTACTGGCTTTGCTTTCTTCCTCTCAGATTGCATTGAGGTTCCCAGCCCAGGATTTATAATGTTGTTGCCAGATCATCATTTAGTAACTGTCAGGCCATCAGAGATGTTGCTGTCAGAGCCCAAACACACAAGCACAGACAACAACAAAAATTCCCATGTAATCATTCTCATCTTTCCATTGAGACACGGTTGAAAAGTTCTTGCAGAATAGCATAAGGCTGATTGGCCTGACTTTATGCCAGTTTCAGTGTCTCAAGGCCAAGGCTGGAAGATTTGGCATTCTGTGGGTATATGGCAGCACTAGCTCATGAGCTCATGGTTCCCATGTCACTGGATTTGGACCGGGTTGCCAGTTTCTTCTTTGTGCTGCTCAGTAGAACCCCTGAGTTTTCATGGAGGCCAGGATGTGGCTTTATAGAGTGTCCATTGCCCTCAGAAGGATGCCAGACTAAGATAATTGTGTGTGTGCGCATGCAACAGAGGGATGCTGGCTTTAGTGAAACTTATGCTGACTTCACCATGAGAAAAAGCATTCAAATGCTGATGAACCGGAAAAAAGGCCTTGATTTGACTCATCAAGGCTGTGAGAGAGTCTCTATGTTACTCTCACTCAGCTGAAGTACATTTCTTTTAATACAATTGGAATATATTTCCTGTGATAAATAGGACTGGGTGTAAAATCTCAATACTTTATGAACTGTGTGCTTAGCATAAAGTCTCAAAGAGCTGACATCATTTTCTTTGGTCTTGTTCACTCAATCGCGCTTCAGTCTTGAGTCACAGTATTTTCAGTATTTTTTGAGTGTCTTTCAAGATAAGGATCCTTTATTGTGTTTTACTCATCATTTGGTGTACCACTCAACATGTAAAAAGTGTTGTATAATGTCATCTTTGGCTCTGGCTGAGCTTTCTAAAACCTGAAAAACGTAATAAAGTGACATAGTGGCATCACTATGACATCATCCCTGATGATGTCATAGTGATGTCACTGAGGGTGAAGGCAGGTCAGGCTTGAAGACTACAGTGTTTAAAAAGACCACCTGGAGGCAGGGAATTTAGAAAATATGGGCATTTACCATAGCGTTGGATAACCAAACGTAGCTACTTTTAGTTGCATTTGTGAAAAATAGGGTTGAGCATGTTTGGATCTTGGCCAATAAAGGGAATGAAGTCAGGCTATCTTGGTTTTACCGGTTTGATTTTGACCATCCTTCTTTTTACTAGGTGAGAGAGAAACAGTATTTCAATTTTCTGTATGTCCTTCACATATGGTGAATTGACAATAAAATCCTTGAACCTTGAACCTTTTGTCTCTATGTTGTTGAAGTGCAAAACCAAATTTCTGGAGTTCCTCTTGCAATAAAAAATGCTTATATTCAACAGCGTGAATATATTTAGAAATGCATTATTGTAATATAAGCACTGAAACTTGTATTAGAGTTGGTATCATATTGTAGCATAAGCACTGAAACTTGTATTAGAGTTGCTATCATATTGCAGCCACATTCAAACACACACACACACATATACAGGCAATATGTAATCTCCTCTGATGTAGTTTTACATCCCAACACCGCCTCCTGCATCAGTGGCAGCAGAGGCTACAGTAGTGAGGAGGCATGTTGCTATGGAGTGGGAAGATTTTCTGAGAGAGTACATTAGAACTGTGGTTAGAGAGAATAGAAGAGAGGAGACGCAGGGGGAAGGGAAGGTGGTCGCAGGGCATGAGGACAAAAAACAAACACACAAACAAACTACCAAAAAAATCTAGTCACACTGATAAAAATGTAGATGTAGTATGTAGGTCTTACTGTACATGGTTGGCATAACTAACACATTTTGATTTCCAGGGACAAGAATAGATGTGTAGTCACTGCAGATGTCATCATTCTGGACTTGACTGATACAAAGCCAAATGGCAAACATACACCTATACATACACATACAGAGATAAAGAGATCTATATATTTTTAGATTCCTTCATGTATGATGATGAGCTGTCACTACAGTTTCCAGCTGTGCTCCCACTGTCCCTGTTTCTCTGACTATTGGTTACATGTGCAACACTTAAGGTGACCACTTCTGTCATCTCCAGACTCTGACTAAACCCTTTGCGCACTTCCTAACAGTGACAATCTTTTGTGGCTAGTGTGGCACATGTGTAGTCTGTTGTACTGTCAGAGAAATACATCTGTATTAGGCTCTTAATGTTATTTTACACACTGTTGCCCAACCTTTCTTCCTTGTCTCCACCCTGTTTCTCAGAAGCTGTGTTGTTATATCCTGCCTTCCTGTCTGCTTGGCTTGTTTAAATCTATAAAGGAATGCCACCTCTGCCTGCTCACTTTATCTATTGAATCCAGATGCTTGTGACTGACTGTACTTACCTGTTGTCTATAGGATTAATGCAACATGTTTTACAGCTCAAACAACATAAGTGCAGGTCATAACTGCGGGTAATATTGGCCACCTAGAACATCTTGCATCAGCTGCTTTGTCTTTCTGGTTTTGAAAGCTGACTTCCCCATTTTGCAGTCAGAAGGTGTTGGCTGTAATGTAAACTGGAGGACATGCTAATGTGCTGGGAGGCATGGGAAAGGAAACTGTGGTTTTCAGAGTTCTTGCCACCCTGTTGCCCCACCCTGCTGCAACCCTCCTCATCTGGTTTCTGGATCTCCCTACCAGGGAAATAGGTCTTTGTTGAAAATACTTCAAGATTATGTAATATCTAATGAACTGGTCAAAGCTGTGGGGAGAAATCTGCTCAGTCATGAGGGCAATTTGATGGCTGTAGCATGTAAATGAGGGCACCTTCATAAACTCTGGGGTTTACTGTTCAGACCTTCACTTTAAGCTGTGTCTTATTTTGTTACTGATGCAACTTCTTGTACAGAAAAATGCAGTTTGGAGTTACAACGGGGGGATTTGGTTGAAACCAAAACAACTGGTTCTTAATTAGAAGTGCACTGTTGGCTGAAATGACAACTGTTGCTACCAGTTACTAGTTATCAGCTGTAGCTAGCAAGGTCATTAAGCTAATGTTAGCCTGAGGAGTTTGAAAGTGCTGTATCTGGCTGACTTTTGATGTTTCCAACTGACTTGTTTTAAAATGAGAATCCTATTAAAAAGATCTTAAACATGCTTTTAGCATCTCTTTGCAGATGCTTTGTGCCTCTTTGAGGACATATTGCATCTCAGTATAGTCTTTTCTATTATCTTTGTACATTTCTTTTGCCTTAGATATTAGCTTCTGCCTAATTATGTGATTTTTCTATATGTACAGTAGGTATCAAGTGCATGTTTAAGATCTTTTTAAAGGTCTTTTTCAGTCTGGGCATCTCCCTTCTGTGTGGGTGGGAGGGTATTTTGGCTTTTACATGTGTATGCCCAGGGGCTCATTGTGTCATAATCTGTTCATGAAGTACTGTACATTATCTTAAATTTGATAAAGAGGGTCAGAGACTACTGACCAGATAAGGCCATAGTCTGCTGATTTATTTGGTTTAGTGCTTCAGATGCTTATTATCTCTATCTCGAGGTGTACTCTGCAGCAGCAGGGCACAACACGGACACTACCATCTCTGCAGTACCAGTCTGCACAGCTGGTGTGCAGCAGCTGTATCGCTGCCATTGTCTGATGCCCTCTGTGCACTCTGGGATGGAGACAGAATGGCAAAGATGTGAATGGTTGAGTGAAAAGGATCCAATTGTGGAACAGAGAAAGACAAAATACAATAGCGGCAGGGAGAGATGGGGAGAGAGAACAAAAATAGAAATTGGTCACAGTACAAAAAGAGCTGCAGGCTTCACACCAACAGGGGAGCGTCTGCCTGGATTATCCTTTAACATAATGTACCGCAGAGTCAGGACTTACAACTACATAAAGATAAAAAGATATCGATATGCTTACAGTAGGTACATCTGCCAGTTGGTCTCCTGCATTGTTACATTTGGCTTTCTATTAACTTAACTTTGACTGTTTTCTTTAAACTTACCATGCTTGCTTCCTTCTGCACACTAAACCAGACCTTATACTTAAACAGTCACAGGCTCCATATTTGTCCAGGTGGAACTTGGTTTGCCTGAATAATGTGAGTGGATGCCTCTAAGAAAATAGGAAGAGCAAAATGAATTGGTT